TAGGGAGGTAGGGAGGATAGAGAATACTTGGGGTAGGGGAAAGAATACCATTAAAATATATTTAAATAATAAAAAAGAATGCAATTGGGAGCATTTAGTATGCTAGGATTGTAATTTTAGATGTTGTACTAACTGGTTTTGTGTCAGCTTAACACAAGCTAGAGTCATCAGAGAGGAGGAAGCCTCAGTTGAAAAAATGTCCCCATGAGATCCAGCTGTATGACATTTTCTCAATTAGTGATTAGTGGAGGAGGTTCCAGACCATAAGATTTTCTTATGTTTCTAGATGTTTCAGAAACATGCAATTTTAATAAACTATTATCCATATGTTTTAGTAGCAATAAAAATAACCCTTACTGGGTAATAACTTTGTCACATTCTGCTGCTGGGTAACATGATTTTGAAGCTTTCCATTAGATGCTTATGATGGATGTATTATGATGTGCTCTTATGCAGCATTTATGTGATTTCTTATTTTCTGTCATTACTAATAATGTTGAGCTCACCCATCCTGCATATAAGTATTTGGTTGCAGGTTTCATTATGTTCCTTACTTAGGAATAAATCATAGAGTAGAATTGTACGATGAAGATAAAAAAACATTTCTTTCAGAACTCATTCCTGTTCCTGAAATGGCTATGCATTTAAACCCTCTAGACAGTCTTTAAGATTGCTAATTCCTTCCATGATAATTCCAATAATTCTTACTTTAAATCTAGTCACATTAGTTTTTATTCCTCAGGGTTAAGTGTACCTGAGCCCCCTTCACATCTCTGGGGCTGTTGTGTGATATTTTGTTCTTGCCTATAGTTACTGTGCTTACGGTATTTAGACAAAAGGGGGGAAATGTTGTGTGATATTTTGTTTGTGTTCTGACAAATAAAGTTTGCCTGGAGATCAGAGGATGGAGCTAACCACTAGTTTACCTACCATAAAGGCCAGGCAATGGTGACTCACACCTTTAACCCCAGCACTTCGGAGGCTCACACCTTTAACCCCAGCACTAGGGAGGCTCACACCTTTAACCCCAGCACTTGGGAGGCTCACACCTTTAATCCAGCACAATCAGGAGGTAGAGACAGGAATGTAAGGTGGGTAGAGACAAAATCTGGCCCCCATTTGGTCTGAGGATTCATAGAGGTAAAAAGTCACTAGTGGCTGCTCTGCTTCTTCGATCATTCAGCTTTCACCCTCAATATCTGACTCTGAGTGATTATTGATAAGACTAATTAGGATCACACTTCAACAGGCTGTGCTCTAGATACATTGTCTCTCTATGAGCTTCTTTGGTTTCTGCCTCCATCCTCAAATATGACCATATAGTTTGCTCTTGGAACCAGCTTTTCCAAGAAACAATTCACCTTTGGTGGTCACCTCTTGTACTGGCTGGTTTTGTGTCAACTCACCACAAGCTAAAGTCATCAGAGAGGAGGAAGCCTCAATTGAAAAAAATGTCCCCATGAGATCCAGCTGTATGACATTTTCT